AGATCAGGGTGAAGATGGATGACAGCTGGACAGCACAGGCTTTGAGGCAGGCTGGAGAGACGCCGTCTGGGCCTTTGCCTTTCCTTGTCTTCCATTTCCTGAAGACTTTGTGTGCATCATCTTCACAGATATAAGGTACAGGCTGAGAAGCAGTAGGGGGGAGGGAGGGTGTTGATGGCTATATTGTGAGAAGGTCAAAGCGGTTGTGGGGTGTGAGACCAGGCTTTTCAACCCTGCAGTAAAACTCGTTCAGGTCCTCAGCCAGTTGTTGATTGGCCTCAGTGCTGAGGGATGGGGTCTTGTAGCTGGTGATGGCATTCAGGCCATTCCACACTAATGTAGGGTCGTTGCTTGAAAACTGTTTTTTTCAGATTTTCAGAGTAGCTTCTCTTAGCTACTCTTATGTCCATATTCAGTGTGTTTCTGGCCTGTTTGTACAAGGCTTTGACCCCACTCCTGTAGGTGTCCTCTTTGGCCTGGTGAATCTTTTTGAGTTTTAAAGTGAACCAAGGTTTGTTATTGTTAAATGTTAAATAGGTTCTGGTGGGAACACACATGTCCTCACAGAAACTGATGTAGGATGTCACAGTGTCAGTGAGCTCATCCAGATCAGTGGCTGCAGCCTCAAAAACACTCCAATAAGTGCAGTCTAAACATGCTTGTAAATCCCACTCTGCTTCATTAGTCCATCTCTTTACAGATCTTACTACAGGCTTATCAGATTTAAGTTTCTGCCTGTAGGCTGGTAGAAGATGAACCAAACAGTGATCAGAGAGTCCCAGAGCCGCTCGGGGGACAGAGTGATATGCATCCTTTACAACAGTGTAGCAATGGTGCAATATTTTGCTGTCCCTGTGGGGCATGTGATGTGCTGTCTGTATTTAGGCAGTTCGCGAGTGAGATTAGCTTTATTAAAATCACAGAGAATAATGAAAGAGTCCGGGTAACGCTGCTCTGTGTGTGTGATCTGATCAGCCAGCTGTTATAGCGCCGCGCTCATACGCGCGTCAGGAGGAATGTACACACTCACCAGAATAAACAAGGAAAACTCCCGCGGTGAATAAAAAGGCTTACAGTTAATAAAGAGAGCTTCCAAATTTGGGCAGTGCATCTTCTTTAAAACTGTCACGTCTGTACACCAGCCTTCATTGATATAAAAACACAATCCACCGCCTCTCGTTTTCCCCGACGACTCGGTGACGCGGTCCACTCTGAACAGCTGGAAGCCCATTAGATGAAGCGCGCTGTCCGGGATGGCTCCGGTCAACCAGGTTTCCGTGAAGCAAATCGTGGCTTCGAAAGTTTAAAAAGTCCTTGTTTGTGCAAGTGAGGAGTTGTAGTTCATCTGATTTATTTGCTAGGGAGCAGAGCTAATCAGACTCCCACGAGTGTCTATAAATTTTGAAAATGAAGATTATATTCTTTTCCACACATTCTTTGTTAAATATTGACCTGTTTTTATGCAAAACATATTGATTATTCCATACAATACATTTGTGAGGTAAAAAAAAAAAAATGCTTGAAAACCAATTTCCAAGAATCCAGTGCTTGCTTGTGAAAATGTGATAACTTGATTGGCAACTTATTACAGTTAAAATTACAACCTAGCAAAAACTTTAAACCACCACACCGAAATGAAATATGATCCTCTGCATCACATGAGAGATTCTTTTGCAATCCTGCAAACCACAGGGACGAAAGAAGGAACTTGCTCAGCCCACCACATATTTGGCAAGAGTCCACATGTCTGTGTATTACATAAGCAGTCGCTCAAACTGAAACTAAACAAACCTCTAAGCACAAAGTGTAAAGTCCCAATCAACCAGGTTCTGTTTCTGTAGTAACATTATAGTCAAATAGAAAGATTTGTAAACAGGACAACAGAGAAGAGAAAGGCACAACAGATAAGGATTGTTTCAGGATGAACTAAAAACTAGAGGAAATAGAGAAAAAAAAATGTTTGCCAGGAAAAATTAATAACATCTGACCTTGTGTTCATGTCATTTATAAAGACACAAAGACAAATAGGCATTTTCGGCATTTAAAATAAGTGCTTTCCACTTCCATTGAATCTTTTTTCCCCCCCTTTTTTTTATTCAGGTTTTTTTTTATTATGATTAATTTGCATAATTATTTGTGTATTATAGCTTTTATATACTATATATGATTTATTCAGTGTGTCATAGCATCATACAACACTCTGTAAAGAAAGAAAGAAAGAAAAACATACATAGCACTGAAATGTAATACAAGCAGTATTCAGAAATCCAGGTACATATAATTCACACAAATAAATAAATACTTAACACAGCTTACAAACACTTACATTTTTAATGGAACCAAAGAGCACTTTTTCCTCCATACTTTTCAACTGTCATTATCAACAAAACATAAATTTACAAGAGTCAAACCTTCACCACAGTGCTTATGTTGAACCCTCTGCACACACTTAGAAAAAATATTATGGTAAATTAACAATTTATAACAATAACAGAATTAAATGAATAATAACAAAGTTAGGCATATACATAAAGTCATAAAGATATATATTATAAAATTAAATAAAACAATGTAAATTAAATCATGTAAATACCATATATTGTTGTATTTTACAGTAGTACCTGTAGCACTGATTTGCAGTACTCAGAAAAGATTCAAACTTTCATGTCTAAAGATGAAGGAGAGAAATTTTTTAATAGATTTTTGAAGGAGCTTTTAAGTTCAAGGAATCAGCGTTCTTGTGTTTGTTCCATTTGTCATCATGAGATTTATAATGTACTGTACTTATGAAGTGCATCTACTCAGTCATCATACTCTTAATATACTATTCAATTGAACCATTCTTTAATAATTCTCAACGAGCAGAGAAGACTGGGGCTAGTTGTCACATGGGGAAGTGTGACAAACTAGTGTAAGATTGACTTTGAAACAGTTTTCACTCAGAAATTGCCAGTAGCACATTTGTGTCTCATGATAAACTCAGTGCAGAAGAGGATGCTGTCTGGTGGATTTAATATTGCATCTGTATGGAGACTGGACAGTTTCTGCATGCTTGCTTTGTAGGATTTCTATTACATTTTTTTTTCATCAAGATTTAATAAGGTTTGTGTTCATACAGAAATTGACTTTCAACAATAAGCACCATGAGAAATATTCACTGGATAATAAAGTGTCAAGTCACCTTTATTTATATAGCGCTTTTAACAATACTGATTGTGTCAAAGCAACTTTACCGTATCAAATAGGAAAATAGTGTGTCAATGCAAAAGGACATAGTGATGTAGTTCATAATTGAATTCATTGATGTCATTGTCCTGCTCAGTTCATTTTAAATAGTATCTGTGCAATCAAGTCGACGATATCGCTGAAATAAAGTGTGACAGGTTTAGAAAAATATAAGAAATACAATAAATAAATATTTGGTCTGCTTTAAATCTGGTCAAGCGTTATATAGATCTTGAGGTCTTCAAGGGCTGTAAACATGATCTCTGTGTGGAAGAGACAAAACAAATAAACTGCTGTTATAGTCATGATCACAAATGTTTATTTTTAAAGAGTAAACATTTATATATATGTAT